CTCTCTAGCACATGCACACAACTACAATTATTACTACACAATTTCCTAACATAAACTAACTAACCTTTAATTAATAATTGTCTCAATTCATGTAAAACTATTTGTTTCATTCTTATCTTGACAATATTATTAGTCCCTTATTTTTCTCAAATGAGGAAATATCTGGTTCAGTTCAGTCATCTTTAGAAGCTCCAAAAATGATAAGAGGAACCTTAAAAGAAGAAAATACTCTGTATCACATTTCCTTCCAAAATGAAATAATTAAATGGATGAAATCAGAATCTAAAGATGAAAGTGATTAAGCAAAGTAAATATTTGAAGGAAGTGAAATATATATATATATTTATCAACAAGAAAGAATATAGAGATGCTTACAGCCAATTTGATTTTCGAAACCCAATACACATTAATCTAGACTACTCTTATTATATAAGTAATGGAGTGAGGCGACTCGACATTCTAATTTTATTTTTATTTTTTTATATGCAAAATACGTGACACCCACATATTTATTATTAATTTACTTTAAATGTCACTCTCAAAGTGTGCTACTCACGACGACTCACCGCTCAATCCACTCACACCTCACGTTTTCACCAATATTCCATTTTTTTTCCTTTTTCTATGCCATCTATATATATATATATATATATTTGTTCTCTAATTAACCAAAACCAAAATTTTCAATATCAAGCATACTACATATATATATAATATACAATTAAATAAAAGAAAAGTTAACACAAAAAGATTATTTATTATTATTTGTAAGAAAATATGGACAAGAGTTCAGAATTTATATGCAGAAACTAAGGGTAAACAATTTTATTTATACCCAAAAATCTAAGTTAAAATGGTGCAAAAAACACCTGTTCAAAAGAGGTTGGCACTTGTTTGGAAGGAAATGTCTATTTGAAATTAATTTTCGTTGAAGGTTATTTTCCAAAATCTTCAAATCCAATTTCAATCGAGAGACGATGGGAGAACTTTTTTCTCAATTTTTTATTAGCAAAAAAAAAAAGAGTCATTCCTATCTAAAATAAATTTTAGCTTCCGATTTTCCTCCATTAATTTTTCATTCACATATCAAGTTATTTGATATAAGTTTTTAGATATTTGACTTTACTGCGATATGCTTTAATATTAGGCTGACTTTTTAATTGTTATTTTAATAATATTTTTTCTCTTATTGATGATAACATAAATATATTTAGATTTCAATTTCAAGTAATATAAAGAATAAAATATTCAATAGTGAACATCATCTTAATAGACTTTTAATAAAATAATTATATGTACAAGCTGGACTTTGAGCAAGGCATGCTCAGGATTTCTAAGATAAAAGAATTACTTTGGTTGTTGATCGTTTCGATTGAGGAGCTGGAATAATCGATCGTTAATGAGATATGTGAGCACACAAAGCATAAATTAATAAGTGTCATTTTGGATAATTAAATATTAATTAATAAATATGATAATTTAAAATTGGAAAGCAGTAGACTTGAAAAGGCTCCAACATATATTACCTCCAGATTTTGTTGGGTTCGAAAGTGATTAGAGCGTCATGCGGAAGCTTACAATTACATATTATATGTTTGATAAACCAGATAACAAAAACTTATACTAAAAAATCAAAATATTATTATATGGAATTTGACCAACTAGCCTACATATTAAAAACTAATAAAAATATTATAATAGTAAAGAGAAAATCTCCCTATAAACAAAACTCTCTAAATGCCTACATTGTGGATTTTATTGTGTTATGTTATGAGAATATTAATCTTCAATTTAAAGATCTCCAAATTTTTCTCTAAGGAAAGAATAAATCAAATATGGAAAAGATTATATTTTTCTGTCAGGAAAAGTTCAAGCATTTATGGTAATACTTTGACTTTCCTTTAAGGACAAAATAAAACTTAAAATATGATAAGAAAATCATGGCAAAACCCTAACAAATCCCCCATTTTAACTGGACTTGATCTACTTTCTTCAACTGCATGATAATCTTTGTTCTTCACATGATCTTCATTACTGCTGCTTGCCATGGTTAAAAATAAATTTTAAAATATATGGGTTAAAAATGTTTTTAAAATATTTTATTTTATTTTCAAAAATGCAGCAACAGGATTGTTGAAAATATGGTATTAATTTCTTCTCCACATGTACAAAAATCTTCATTATCATCAAATTTGTTGTAAATTGATTTGAAACCGCGTTGAACCTGTCTTCAAGCTTGTTCAATTGGATCATTGAACTATGTGATCCTTGGACCATGTGCTCTGATAACACTTGTTGGTTCGAAAGTGATTAGGGCGTCATGCGAAAGCTTACGATTGCATATCATATGTTTGTTAAATCAGATGACAAAAACTTATATTAAAAAATCAAAATATTATTATATGGAATTTGGCCAACTAGCCTACATATTAAAAACTAACAGATATTTAAGTGGAGCCCAAGGCTTAGCTCTAGTGGCAAAAGGTGGAGGATTTGTGGCTTAGGTCGCAGGTTCAAGCCCCACACCATGCAAAGCGAAGGCCGATATTTAAGTGGACCCCAAGGCTTAGCTCTAGTGGCAAAAGGTGGAGGATTTGTGGCTTAGGTCTCAGGTTCAAGCCCCACACCATGCAAAGCGAATCCCAGTATTTAAGTGGAGTCCAAGGCTTAGCTCTAGTGGCAAAAAGTGTAGGATTTGTGGCTTAGGTCGCAAGTTCAAGCCCCACACCATGCAAAGCGAATCCCAGTATTTAAGTGGAGTCCAAGGCTTAGCTCTAGTGGCAAAAGGTGGAGGATTTGTGGCTTAGGTCGCAGGTTCAAGCCCCACACCATGCAAAGCGAATCCCAGTATTTAAGTGGAGTCCAAGGCTTAGCTCTAGTGGCAAAAAGTGTAGGATTTGTGGCTTAGGTCGCAAGTTCAAGCCCCACACCATGCAAAGCAAAGCCCGGTATTTAAGTGGATCCCAAGGTTTAGCTCTAGTGGAAAAAGGTGGAGGATTTGTGGCTTAGGTCGCAGGCTCAAGCCCCACACCACGCAAAGCGAAGCTCGGTATTTAAGTGGATCCCAAGGCTTAGCTCTAGTGGCAAAAGGTGGAGGATTTGTGGCTTAGGTCGCAGGCTCAAGCCCCACACCACGCAAAGCGAAGCTCGGTATTTAAGTGGATCCCAAGGCTTAGCTCTAGTGGAAAAATATGGAGGATTTGTGGTTTAGGTCGTAGGTTCAAGCCCCACACCATGCAAAGTGAAGTCTGTTATTTAAGTGGAGCCCAAGGCTAGCTCTAGTGGCAAAAGGTGGAGGATTTGTGGCTTAGGTCGCAGGTTCAAGCCCCACATTATGCAAAGCGAAGCCCGGTATTTAAATGGAGAAGGGTAGAGGGGTAGGCCCATTATCCACCGAGTTTAGAAGGCTATGATTGGTCCAAAGGGCGGGTCATAGACGAATTTCTGGGTTATAAAAAAAAAAGATCTTGTAGAGACTTTCAAAATCTTTTGCAGAGACGTTCAAAAACTTCAGAAGTATTGATGACGAGGTGGGTATACAGTAGTTTGAAATATTCCTTTTTTTGTAGTTTTGCCAATACTCAACTTCTTTGGCTTACTGTTTAGGTTATTGGATTTCTGCTTTTTAACATGCATCTGCATGTTTGCAGGCTACTCTCTATCTTAAACTCTGGAACAATCTTTATCTTCCTTATATCCAAGCACAGTGCATTGTTTGATCTACTTGAGTCCTTCCTGATTACTAAATCTTAGGAAGCTCTTCGTGCAAGTCAACTTGCATGTAGGGTAAGCATTATTCCAAACTTTTATGTTCACTCATCTCCTGTTAGTGCCTTCTATGTTCTCTTTTGGTTAATTGAGTTTGTTGTTTTTCTTGGTCTAGGTTGTGTTATTTTTTCAGAACAATGTTCAGGAAAGCAACCCTTGTATCATCCATGGAGCTTTAGGGTACTCATCAGATATATGCAACGGAAGCAGCTTCCAGACTTGGGAAACTGATGATGGATGCCCTTATTTCCATGCATATGGAATTGAGAAGATCCTATGGACCTGAAGAGTCTGGTTGCTCTCAATGGATCAGATGGGATAAACTTGAACTACTTCCTAGGGCACTAAAGGATATTGTTTTAGGCAGTGAAGATCTTGGTGGATGGTTGTCATATGGGTAACACTTCTTATTTCATTTAATAGAAAGATCTATTTTTGTCACACTTCTTGTGATTCATCAATTAGTGTGTTCCAACTTATGAGACCTACTCTGCTACTTCCACGTATGTTTTAAAATTCTAGTTGTGCTTAGATGTAAATGTTCTAGGTGATAAAACCACAAAAAATAATGTACCTAAAAAAATGAGGAACACATGATGCAGGATCTCATAATTTTTCCCACCAATACAAGCACACACCCTTTTCATCCTAAATTCGATCTACTAGTTTAAGTCTGTCATAGTCTTCAATTATTTCTATGGACTTGAGGATATGCTGCAAATGAGTTGTCATCTGGGTAGAGTGGACATTACATTGCAACATGAAAATAGTATATAGTTTTGGTTAGAGTAGTATCTCCCTACAACTTTCAGTGAGCCTAGTCTTCTAGTGGCTCAACTTTGTTTGAAAGATGTTATAAGTTACTATATAATTTCTGAATTTGTCCCGTATTTCCTTGTGGTTTTTTAGTATTAATGCTATAATACAATTATCTGTAGTTTGGTTAGACTAGTAATTTCTACAACTTGCCTTTATAGGCATTTTCTATTTTATTGATTTGACAGCTATATTCCTATTTTATCATAGAAAACTTAAGAAGGGTCTTCTTCTTATCATGGATCCCTGAGTTTCTTCCGTGGTTGAAGAAAATATTCAGTTGAAAATTATGTCTTTACATGATTGAAACATATCCTGTGTGTGCTCTTGGAAGAAGAGCTATTAGCTGAATTAAGTGATGAATTAAGCAATGAAGATGCAACAAATCTAATTCGGCTACTTTTTGCATCAACTAGGAAGACAGTTTTGGAGAAGATTGTTCCTGCTAGTGATAATAAAAAGAAATATTACACCAAAGCACAAAAGGTGAGGTTCTTTAGTTCTTCTTGGGGAAAATGCATAAGTACCCCCCAGCCTATGCCCGA